TAATGAATAGATCAGGATTATATATCTAGGAAGATTCTTGAGGCTGATTTTGACATTGAAATTTTGAACATATATATGAGTTTAATATAAAAAATTTAAAAGCTACTGCTGACAGGTCATCATTTTTTAACATTTGCTACAGAGTAATCTCTTTAAAATTGAAGATGGTCTCTTTAAAATGGAAGGTGAACTAATTACTATGATTAAATCACGGTGTTTGATAATAATTTGAGAATTTTATGTGATAATAATTTTAAATTAGTAAAAATAATTGAATTAAAGTCATGTGATGATCTAAACTTCATCCAAATGAATGAAAAAGTTTTATCATCGAAAAAAATATCTTCAAAATCATTTTAGGATAAATTTATCCTTGAAATGATGCCAACAACTATGTTTTCCAAATTTTTCGTTTTTATAAACAAATCTCTATTTCCTAATCATTTTATACAAGACAACTTATGTAACTCTTAAATGTGAATATATCAACAACTTTGAATTATACTAATTAGAACTGGTTCATATCTAAATTTTCTATATAACAATGAATTCATATTTTAGAAATTGTTCATTCAATAAAAATTGAGATTGTTTTTTAAATAATCTTATTATTAACGATAAGTTATTTTGAGTTTTTTTGTATTCAATGATTTTTTCCCATAAAATATTAAATATAGTGATTTAAGATCATCAATAATTTATAATATTACACCGAACATAATAATTTAAAATCACTAATAATCATATCATCTTGATTATCTTATTATCTTAATAGCTAAGGATTCAAACGATTAGGTAGTTTTTTTTACTTCATCTTGATAGCTAAAGATTGGAATGATTTGGTAGTTTTTTCAACTTCTTAATCATTTTAGTGGATCCAGTTCAAGGTTTAAAATTTTCAAAATTATTTTCTTTCAATAAATGAATTCAAAAAAATTTAAGAAATAATAACTATGAAAATAAGGGTCTCTATCCGTAAAATTTGTGAAAATATTGACTAATCAGTAAAAGGAGATGAATTATTGTAATTTGTTCCAAATAGAAACATAAACAAAGACAAGGATAATCTTTCTATTCTAAAAAGAACTCGACAACAAAAAGAAATAATCTTAAAGAAAGTGATGAACAAATCATTACAATAATCTTAAAAATGAAACTAAACACTATCTTAAAAAAGTATGGTAGGTAGCAAAGGTATTACCATAATTTTAGTCTATGTAATGATCAGTTCATATGCTCCATTTATGTTACAAAAAGCACTCAGGTAGTGTTTTATATGTGTTTATCACTCTAAAAATTATGGTCATTTGCATATGGTGATTAGTTCATTATGTTTGGTAAACACTTGTTGATTTTATATGGCAGTGATCTTGAATCATCTAGAATGATCAAATTACTGTATTGGAGGGTGATCTAATTTCCATCCAAAAAGGTTAGAAACTTTTATTATCGAGATGAAATGATATATAAAATTAGTAATAGTTAATATTATTGATTTAATATATGAATTAAAATTTTGATTCCTCTTAAATTATAATTATTTTATATTATCCAATTGTAATATTTTCAAACTAATATTCATTATAATAAATTCAAAAATAATTTATGTATTTTTTTATTTTTTTGTAATGTCTTATATAATATAATGTCTTTGTTTTTTAATTACGATTCTAATAGATTTAAGCAAACCTCACCCGCTACCAAAGTTAATTGTTGAAAGTGATTCCAAGGTGGTAACTTCTTGGCTAAAGAAGATCAGTGACAGCCCTTGGCGATAAATGTGATTCTCAACAGACTTCTCAACCTACTTGCAGGCATACAGAAAATATCTTTTGTCCCTGTGTACAGAGAAACAAACTGTTTTGCAGACTGTCTTGCAAAGCAAGTATCCTGTAACCATGATTTGGTTACCTAGTTATAATTTGCTTATTCTCTTTTATTAATAAAATTCTGCTTTAACTTTAAAAAAAATGATTTTAATAGATTTCAAAAAATTTTTTACATAATTGATATTATAAAAATTAGCTTACTTAATAAATAAATAAATAAATAAATATAATAATTTAATTATATTTATTATAAAATAAATAAATTATTATAATGTTTTATAAATTATTATCTTTAAATAATATTTAAATCTTTAACTTGTGTAACTATTACAATAAGGATGGTTATTTTCATACTTTTAAATAAAATAATATTTGATTTTTAGTAATACTAAATACCACAATCTTTAATTCATATGAATTAACAATTGTTAACCAAACAAAGTGATTTTCAGTCATAAATAATAAGATCACTTTAGTAATAAAATCATTTTGATAATTGCATTATCATGATATCTTAAAAATAATATCAAATGTTACCTTAAAGAAAATATACAATGTCATTTTCTCATGCCTCTCTAATTCAATGCACGAGCAGTAAAAATATTCACACATTTAGAAAAGCATATCTTATAAACTTGTTGCTAGCTATATATCCCGTTTTGTTCTTTAACAATTAAGGATGATCTAAACTAGCTTAGAATATCCTCTTTGGATCTTTATTAGAATTAAGGCTAGTAAAAAATATAAATTTATTAAAATTAAATTGCTTAAAAATCATTGCCAATTTAGCCACAAAGGAGATTTTATCCTAACAAACTTTCCTTGTTGTTTAAGAAAAGGTGTTCTCAGATTCACATATACAATTTTTTTCCATGACAAATAATTCGGTTGTACTTAGAATACCTTTTTCTAATTTTGCCAAAGAAAAAGAAATTAAAATCAAGAGAAAAGGGAGGCACAAAAGAATAGCCTCTTGATTATCCATACCACACGAGATCCATGTGAAACTCATATGCAATAACATGGACTCAGCATTTGCAAACAAACAAAATTTTACAATTTTTTTAAATAGAATAATTTTTCAAATTATAACATTGTATATTTACCAGGGGTGGTAGTAATTTACTAGGATTGATCCTTGTGACATCCATCTGCTTGATAATCAAAAAAATCATGTAGCCTTTATACCATTAATAAAATTAGACCATATTATAACAAAGGCACAAAGCAACTTATCCCTATGTTCAAAATTTTATGTCTTCAATTCATGCTTAATCTCAAATTATTCTCAAATATAAATCTTGTTTGATTGATCTCGCATCTGACTTCACTACTGTATATAAAAACAAAAGGTTGAGATTAAGTTTCTAAGAGAATTACACTTCTGCACCTAATTCTAAATAAAGAGAATTTATGTATACACACTTACATGATGAATTCTAGTTCAGCATTCTTCTTATTATGTAAAGAAAAGAGATAAAAGAAAACAAAACACCAGCCATTATCAGGTGTTTCTTTGTATCCCAAATTTTTACTTTGTCGACACATGATCACTAGCTAGTTGCACCTCAATAGATATATTTACTCTAGGTTTAAGTACTTCTCTTGAGATAGCTACAAAAGGGAAGCCAATATTAATGATGACTGATTATAGAGTAACACTGATTATATATACATTTATATAAGAGCTACCAATTTGCATGTCTTAATTGTGCTGAAATATAAGGTGTAGTTGTTTAATATTGTAGGCTATACATGCACAATAGAATAGATATGTTCATTATCCAATTAATTCGATACTTACTATAATATCAAAATCAAGAACATAAACTAGTTACTTATATTAATTCAGAAAATTTTTTAGAGTACACCAAACTATTTCTCCACAGTTTTAAATTACTATGTTTAGAAATATTTTCATACTAACTTGATAATTGATTGTAATATGAAGGTTTCTAACAATATGTTAGATGCAAGACTGATTTCTCTCTAAATATACAGTAATTCGCAATGTTAAATTGTAAGTGCCCTTAGTACACTGATTAACAAGATAATTTAACAAATGCATATATATTTACCTTTTTTAAGACAGTGGATTCACGTTTCTCATTTGTTGTTGGAGATTCTAATATTCATTTTGGTATTCTAATATTGTTGGGGATTTTCATATAGCATTCGTCATTTGGTAGGAGCCCTTTTATGTGCATATCTTATGAAATTAAGATGTGTTTAGTATACAAAATTATGATAGGATAGGATAAAATAATATTATGAATAAAATTAAATTAAATAATGTCATCCTATCTTGTGTTTGATGTATGCAAAGATTATGATAGAATAATTTATTTATTGGCTAAAATTATCATTTCTCAAAATTTATATAATTTAAATTATTGATGTAATTTTTAAGAGTTTAATTGGACATGTAAGTACAATCTCATGGATTAAAAATAATCCTCTCCACTTTGAGAGGATTGAATCATCCTATACTAATATAACAATTAATTCTTTTTATAATCCTATCATTTTGTTTAAATACAAACCAAACATAATATAGGATAATTATCATCCTATTCTATTTATCATCTTATGCACCAAATATGACTTTTAAGTTATTAATGAAAGTTGGTAGGAAGATTTAGATAATGGGGATTTCATAATGAAGGATCACCTTTCACCTTAAAAGGAAAAATGAAAGGTAAAATATCAGTGTTGTGTTCGAAGTTGCACGGCAAAGATATATGGAAAGCATTAACTTCTTGTAAGACAGCAGATATCAACTTCTCGTAAGACAGCAGATCATTCATAAGATATGGCTTAAACAAGGTTTAGTAAAGTATGAACTAGCATCAACAAAATTCATAAAGACATGCATGTGAAACCATGGCCTCCCACCCCAAGCCCCTCAGCTTCTGACATAAATTATTAAAAGATTTTTTGGTAATAGAAATATAAGATTCAAGTACATTCAGTCATTATAAATTTATACTTTTACTTGATTCGAAAGATCCTTCAAAGCAATTACGTTTCTCACTTCCTCTCTCACTCACCCAAGCACATTCAGCACATTAAATGAAACAGCAGACAGAGATTTCTATATAAAACCAGCAGAGGTAGAGCAAGAATCAAGGCAAAGCATTAACATATAGATATGAGATACAGGAGACCAACCTTGTGCTGGAGTACTCAAAGAGCTTTCCAGTGGCTGAAAAGACTAGAAGAGCTATCTCAGCATCACAAAGAGTGGAAAGCTCATGAGCTTTCTTAAAAAGTCCTTTTCTCCTCTTTGAGAAAGTCACCTGCCTTGCTGCCACGTTGTCAATCTTCTTGATCTGAATTTTCTTTCTCGCCATTCTCTTCCAGGGATAAATTTATCTAAACCCTTCAAACAAAATCAAACCAAAATATCAAGGAAACAGGGGCAACAACAATATTCTAGGGAAACAATCAAAGAAACAGTAGTTGTCTGGAAAGAGAGAGAAGAAGGGGTGCTCAAAGGGAAATATATAAAAAGGAAAAGAAGACCTAAATTTTAATCAAAACATCAGAATCTTATCGAACAGCTGATCACAAAAGAAAATGCTAAGCTTCAGCACTGGGTAATTAGCAAGATGCAGACAACCATATGTAGAGAAAGACAAAGAGGCAATACACATATTGAGAAATCATATGTTGTTGGGAAGAAAAAACCATAACATTAACCCTCCAGGAACAGCAATGAAAGAAAATTACCTTGCTCAGAAGTACATAAAAACACAACAAAAATGGGTGTATCGTCACAAGAAATCAAACCCAAAAAGGAAAAAGTAGTTACCAGTTTTTCACCTCAAATCGATCAAAATACAAGAGAGAAGCAACTAGCAAGGTTAAGTACTGTGAAAATGTTACTGGATATGGAAAATGTATAGAAGGGAATCTGGGATATAAATAGCAAATATATGAAATGGGATCACAGATAAGAAACAGTACGATAAAGAGCTTAGCTGCATTATTACTGTTTTTTTTTCCTTTCCAAATTAAGCCAACATAATAATCAAATACTTTACACAAAAATAATAATAAAAAAGAAAAGGACATCAGGCAGGAACCATTGAAACCAACCCTAGATGGGAAAAGAGATAGAAAGCAGATGGATACGGTTGCAAAAGAAAAAAAAATGCCTACCAATCCAAGCTCAGTTAGTATGGAAAATGGAAGAAAGTGAGGGACGTTGATCAGAATTTATGATTTTCTCATATTCATTTGCTTTTATTTGTTTCTTTTTTTTTTTCTTGATAAATGCTGTTCATGACACTTCACAAGAACCTGATACAAAGCTACCAATTGTCTTCAGAGAGAGAAAAAATGGAAAGAAAGAGAGTTAAGAAAGGAAACAAAGAAAGATATGGCAAGATTCCTTTTATGTCCCGAACAAGGAGGGGGCTAAAAGCCTTACCAGCAAAAATTTTCCCACATGGTTTTGGTGAAAATAAATTATTTTTATTAAGTGGAGAAAATATTGGTGGAATGTAGATTTTTATTTTTATATGGCTAGTTTTGCTTTACCGTACATATGGACCATGCTGATACTGGTCAGAAATTATGACTCAGTTGTACCCTCGTACCAGTCGTGTCTTCAGTGACTTCAATTTGCTTTCATGTATTTGTGCCGGTTAGTGAGGTAATGTATGTATAATATAATTAGCTTATATTAAATTCACGTATAAATTTTAAATATTATTGATAAATTAATAATATTACTTTATTAATAAATAAAATAAAACTTAATCAGATTTTTAAAAATAAATTAATTTTAATAATTAAATAAACTTATTAACATTCATTTTTAAGGAACTAACTATTTTTACTTTTATTTATTAAAGAAGTATTGTCTCATGATTGATAATGTATAAAATTTATATATTATTAATAAATTAAATATTAACTTCAATATAATTAATATAAAAGTTAGTATTATGAAATGATTTTTAAAATATAATAAAATATTTAATATAATATTTAAATTTTAAATATATTTAATGTAATGATTAAGTTTTTAAAAAATATTTTTTATTAAGTATCAATATTTATAATTAATTATGTTAAAAATAAATATCATATTAATTAACAAATTTATAATTTAAATATCATATTAAAAAACTTTAAAACTCAATATTATATTAAATATTTTACTATAATTTAAAAATTATTTATAACATTAACCTTGCAGTAACTTTTAATAAAATCATGAAAACTCTTACCCTTTTTTTTTATCAATTCCCTGTTTCTTTCTTTGCTCTTTTGAAGTTGGTTTGTGCATTTTTATTTTTTTAATTGAAATAAGTTTTATTTGAGAGTTTGAGTGTCTCTATTAGTACATATGTTGAATTCTTTATTTCTATTTGTTATTTGTTTTTCAACTTTTTATGTAAACAACTAAAATTAGTAACCAAAAATTAAATATCGTGACTGATAAAACTTTAAGTGACTAGATAACATGGTATATTAAAAATAACATCATTATAGCAATTCTACAAAATCATATATTAATAAAGCTTAAGTGAATATATAGTATAGTATGTTACAAATAACATCATTATAGCAATTCTACAAAATCATATATAGTAAACTACACATTTCGTAGTATTGTTATGAAAACTAAAAATTTGCATTTTCTATGTTCCTTTCTTTTTTTGTTTACTCTGCTTCATAGGATAATATTTGAACCATACATTTTTTTTTTGGGCTGAAATCACAAAAAAACTCTTTGAGCTTTATTCTCGATAAGGTCCTATGTTTTTGTTACATCTAAATAAATCTTTAATCTTTAATTTACATTAAAATAAATTTTTAATATTTAATTTATATACAAATAAACTTTTAATTTTTGTATTTACACTTAAATAAATTTTTAATATAAGCCAATCTTTTATTTTTAAAAAAAATTTATTTGAATACAAATAAAAAAAAATTATTTGAATATAATAAAAATATAAAAACTTCTTTAAGATAAATAGAGTAGTTTAGGGATTTTTTTTTTAATATTTTAGCTTATTTTTTAAAAAATTAAAATATGATTAGTAAGTACACTTTTTTTTTTCACTCTAAAAAGAGAGGAAGTTTTTATTAGAAACCAAGACTTCTAAATACTCTCAGAACTCTTTAACCATCAGGTCAATAAGTTAAAAGACAATTATTATTTTTGAAAATATCAAAATAATAATATATAAAAGACTATTTTTCTTTCAAAAAAATATTTTACCATACTTATTAACATATATATATATGCAAATAATATACTAATAAAAAATAACGAGCTAATAAAATTATAAAATAAAAGTATTATTGTGATGGCATTGTATTTTTAACATTAATAAATGTACAATTAAAGGTAAAATTATTAATTACACAATTTATTAATAAATTATAAAATTTTCTTAAATTTTTTTGGCAATTAAAAATTAAAATAAAACAGATTTATGAATAAATCAATTATTAAATATTTTATCAAAACAAGAAAACTACATGTATTTTTAAAAGAATGATAATAGAATTTTGAGATTAAAAGTTATGGTATTTTTCTATCTTTTCTAAAGTAAATCCAATATGATTTTTTTTGTTGGAAAAAATTACAACAACATAGAGATCTAACGTAAAAATAAAAGTGAATAAGATATGGAGATGAGAAGTTGAAAATAAGCTAAAAAGAAAAAGGGATCGTAACTTTTAGTCTAAATGATTTACTTAATCTTTTTAGGAGATGGATTCTTGCCAAATTAGGGTTCAATTATTAAAACTTGCAGTTATATTTTTTTTTTGCCCTAAATCAGCTAGGCTTCAATCTTTTGTACAAAAAAAAAAAAACACATTTGATACTTGGTTGGAAATAAAGTCTCATTAAGAAAGTTAGAAAAAATAATTTGAATTTTTTTTTGTTATATTAGGAAAATAAAATTTTAGTACAAGTAAGAGAAGAAGAAAAATTTGACTCGAAATTAGATCTTTGATATCCCTTCAAACGCCATTAGTTACTAAATCAAATACTTAAAGACAATAATTTTAATTTTTGTTAATTACACAGGATTATTATTTGAAATTTATGACAATTCTCTTAATTTTAAGAATTTTATAATTAATGATTATTGAGTGTGATAAATGAACAAATATTAATGTGATTTGAACATCTATTAAATTGCAATGCATAGAATTAAGAAAATAAAAAAAATTAGAATTAATAATTTTAATTTAGTCAATTTAAAATAATTTAATATAATATAAAGGGATTTTAAAAATTTTGGGGAAGACTAAGGCCTCTTCTGATTCCTATTACCCATCGCCTTTGACGGTTACACAATAAATTAAATTTTTTTGTGCTTTTTTTTTTAATAATTGAAGTCATAATTTAGATATAAAAAGCAATATAAGTGTTGAAATATTAAATTTCAAATTAATTTATCAACTTTTAAAGATGACTCCGTTAACAAATTGAATTAAAGTTTAGGTTTGTTTCTCCCCACGAGTTAAATACTTAAAGGCGAACATGCACGCCACGTCTGCACGTTTTAAGTGGCATTAATGTAAGAAACGTCAATTGGAGTTGCTAATCGGTGAAAAACATTGATGAATACTTGGGCAATTAAGTAATATGGATGCTTCCAGAAGGTATTGATCAATAATATTTCCAATGACATTTTCCAATTTCCGCTATTAAAGAGTAACAATGACATGCAACAACACAAACCAATGATCTCCTATATCTACTCTCATAAAAATAATTATAGATTCTTTGTGATATTTATAATGTTTTTATACGATTAAATTACATAATTATTCCATCAAGAAACAGTTCATGATTTATGGATGTAATTACGATACTAATTGATCGGCAATCATTTTTTAGATTAGATATAAAAAAAAAAGGGTAACATGTCTTTCTCAAAATAATATTAATGACATGATAAGGTTAAATCAAGAAATATCAGTGACATGATAAGGTTTAATCAACAATTATTTAGATACTATAGCACATAACATGTTAAACCCAAAAAATAAATATAGTAACCAACCCTTATTGTGGTCTTTTTTATTTGGATTTTTTTTTCATTCAGTAATAGTACAATTTTGGTATGATATCTGGCAAAACCAAACCAATTATGAAGTTTAATCTTATGGGATTATTATATCTTAGTGTTCAAGCAAGTTAATGATTATCATAAATATCTTTGTGTATGGTGGTATACTTTTGTCTCTTTTGACATTATTAAAGTGGTGATAAAATGAATTTTGAATTTGTTAAATTAATGAATATTTTCAACACATAAATGTAATAGAGTCTCTTCATTGTAAATTGATTTTAAATTTTAAATTGAAAGTTAGATTCTAAAATTTTGTTCAAAGGAATTCTAATTAATTAAATTGGGATATTTTTAATTATTTTTTATATGCTCATAATGCTTAAAACTTACTTAATATAAAATTTTATTACTATTGTAATAAGGTTTATTGTTATAAGATTTTTTTTTATAAG